TATACAGCACTTCTCGCTTTACTCAATAAATAGTATAATGATTAAGAAAAGGGGTATTTTTTGCACATATTAGAGCACATCTTAGTTTTGAACCCAAAAATCGATACAAATTTAATTAGAAAAAAGTTTTTCGTAGAGAAGGAGTTATATCTAAGCATTGAATACAAAGAGGAGACGAAAAAAGAGTTACAAAAGTACAGTAACGCTGAATACGAGGACTCCGAGCCGTCCTTTAATAAAACAGTGTATCTATTGATTGAGGTTTTATATAAATATACTGACAACAACTTCGCTCACATTTTTTCGTAACGAATTAACCGTTTTTAAGGCAAAACTTAGTCCTTTTAGCCATTCATTCATCCCTTTTGGAGTTAATTTAGTGCAGAAAAACTGAAATACACTTTATATGAAAACAAGGATTCTCTCTCTCTCTCTCTCTCTCTCATTCTCTTTCGTTATTGCTTTCGATTCATCATTCAGTCAGTCGTTCAGTGCTTTCTATTCAATGAATTTTTTTAATTAATTCGAAACCATTTGACTTCATATATGGGTTTAGGGTTTAGGGGGTCTTCACATTCGGCACACATTATATTACACTAAAGATAATAGTTTTGCGCTTTAATTGAAAACACATAGACTATAGACTCACTAATAATATGCCTAACAGTTAGTTATCTCTACTAATTATAATTAAGTGAATAATGAATTCCATCACTTTATATGTGAAATGTAGCAAAAATAAAGTTTTTGATCAGATTTGAACAAATGTTATGATAATAAGTCTTTTATATTATATTCTGTAAATAAAATAAAAAATAATAAATTGAACTAAAATTGCATTAAAAGTACTCTAAAAATATGAATACAAGAGAAATGTTTTTATTTTAAAATCAATTATTCAATCGATGTTTAGGAAGGATTGGATTAGCATTTAATTAATATATTATTCATTCTTTGCTTCACTTCTTGTTTCTTCTAATCTTAAACACATTTATTATTATATTTATAATAAATAATAATTTGTATGTGTTATGAATATTATATACATGTATACGGGATGTGTGTCTCCCTGTGAACACTGCATGAATGCCATCAATATTTAGATCCCAATTTCTATTGATTACAATTCATGCAATCAATTCTTTGACTTATTTTTATTATTTATATAATTATAATCACAATTCAAATCGTTTCCTATCTTTTCATTAAATTTTTAATTTGTAGTCAATTTCTTAAATAATTTCTAATCTCAACTAAATTTTAAATTTACACATAAATTGCGTCAAAAGTCCTTTAAAGTAAAACAATGATATAAATGACAAAATTTTTGTTGTAATCAAAATCAAAGGATAATATTATTTGTTTTTAGTTTAAAATTATGAAAAATTAATTGATTAGTGATTTAGAAAAAACTATATTAACAAAGAAAAAGTGATTATATTTTTCTGTGTTTACAATTAGAAAGACTTGAAAAGGAGTAGAGAATAACCTAAAGACCGATCTTAAGTCGATAACAACCAGAAGGTCCTCAAACTCGTGCCTTCGATGACAATAAATAGAGAAAATTTTCAATAAATAACAAATCGATTAATTTTTTAATGAAATACATTTAAAGCCTAAACACATAAAAACTTAATATTTAGTGAAATTATTAAAGAAATGAGAGAATAATTTTGACAAAGCATTCAAATTGATATACAGTATAATAAAAAGCCATTTTCTGATACAATGATGAAATATAATATAAAGTAATTTCTTATTTTTTCACTAAACAAATATCCAAATAAAAAATTTTATTATAAAACAAATTATATATATTATGATAAAATACATGTAAATCTTTGATGAAAAGGTTGTCCATCTTCTTAATCATATCGTCTATTCATTAATTTCCTTTATTTTTCAAATTCAATGATAAAATATTTGAAATTTCAATCTATAATTACATTCGTATTGATTTTGAATCTTACTATCGTTAGTATTGTATAAAAGTTTTTATCACTGGTCACGGAGTGATTGATACATATTATCAACGGATAGTTTTTAAGTACAAATACTTATTTCAATAGTATTTGTATGAATATAATAGGTTTGAGTTGAACTAAATATTTGAGTGTTTTTTAATTGTAACGGGTTTTGAAATAATGAAATTGAAAAGAGTTTATATATTTTGTAATAATTATTTACTAATTAATTATAATTACTTTGATTTGTATGTAAAGCGAGTGGTTTTCCGACTGATTAACCCCTCGTGAAAATTACGCTCACATTTATTTCAAGTGCGGTATTAATCCTGACTTTAATTTTATATTTTTGTAACATTTAGTTCTTTCTAAAAGAAATGAAAATAATTTTAACCTTTTTGAAGTGTCTATATTACCGGTGGTTTCATTTTCGGTGTTTTCACATTTAATTATTAGTTTTAAATACAATATATATTGTAATTTTGATTAAAGAAAATAACAGTCAATAAATGAATCAAAATTCATGATTTCTGATATGATATCACTTTATAATAGATTTAAAATAATGACAATTCCTTTAATGGAAAACTGAGATAAAAGTTTATATTAGGAGAAAATCTATTTGATTTGTATCAACCGTTTATAGACATTATTTCTCTTCAATCAAAAGAATATTTTGGTTTTATATCTCTTTTTTCACTTAAAAGTGTTGAAGAATTGAAATAAAAACCTCTTTTTCTACATTTGCTGTTAAAACTCATTCAACTATTTTTATGTTTATATTGATTTATATATGAGTTTATATATTATTGGAAACCGCAGTAATATTTTATAATTTATGATTTGATTGTATGGATAACGAGAAATGAAAAACACTTTTGAATATAAGTCTGAAATGTATTGAATTGAATGAAAAGAAAAACATTTTATATACAAAAAAAGTAACGAAGGAATAGAAGAAAATGTGTTAAAAAGTCTCAGCTTTTAGATTGAGTTTCGGAAAGTGAAAAACCGAAAGTAAAGGAGAGATTGAAAAAATATAATTTCCAATTTTCACTGCCCTTAAGGTTCAGTCAATACATTGTTATATTGAGATATAAAAATTGAAAATAAAGTAAACCCTGTGTTAAACATTAAAATGTACGGTAAAAACAGACTATTGTATAAAAATGAAATTAAGTCCAATGTGTTCAACAATAATATACACTTTTATTCTGCACTTTCGAGAGTGAATTTTCTCACAGAATATAATACAATATAATTATGTTATGATTGGGAAGAATAAGAAAAAATGATGTTTTTATGTGTATTTGTTAACACAAATTATTGCCATAAAAGTCTGTCCTCTTGTTTGTGAAGTGAATTAGATATCAATTATTATTACTATTATATAAACGGCCAAAACATTTCTGTATTGCCAACAAAACAAGAAACAAATCTCAAAGGATTAGATGTATTGACTGTTCATTATATTTAACGCATTTCTTCTATCAATTTTTGTGTTCAATTCACACCAAAAAACATAAAAACTAAAACAAACACTAAATTTATAAAACAAAATACAACAAAAATCAAAAATCATTTTATTGTAAACAATAGTTTCTATTAACAAATAAAATAATGTCTAATCAAATGGAAATCATGTGAAAGGTATTTGGTTTGAAAGCAAATGAATGAATAAAATGATTGTAAGAGTTATTGGAGAATAACATCCATTAAAAAGAGTAATAAATAAATAAAAAGTTAGACTAAAAAACTTAAATAAAGAAATAATGAAAAACTTTATAATAATGAAAAAACTCTGTATTTGAAAGACTCGGTTTGTAAATGGTTTGCATATTTGCTCACATATTATGTAAAAAACAAAATAAATTGTGTTGTTATTATATATTTATTATTAATTAATTAATTAATATGATTAGTGATGCACTCAATTCAGTTCAAAAAAATTATTAATAAAAAATAAGTATTTAAAAAAATTTTCTATCAATTCTTTCAACAAAATTATTTTCCCACTGATTTGCTAATAGTTTTGCATCTCTTTTATTGTTTTAGTTTTTCAATACAATTATAATTTTCGTTTTCAAAGTTAAACATAATTTTTATTCATTTTAATAGATTTTAATTATTTTTTGACATTCAGTCGATAACTGACGACCAATTGCTGAGTAAATTAACTAATTATATGATTCTTAAAGATATCGTTTCAACGATTGAAAACATAATCAGTTTTAAGTCATTTTAATAAAACATTTCATTACAAAAATGTGTTTATTTTTTGCTCAATTTAGAGATTAATTACTGGAAATATGTTTTTGTGATCTAATTGTTTGCGACAAATGACTCGACTATTAGTTATCATAAGAGACGATAAATGTTATGAATTATAACTAACGTATTATTTGTCTTATATTTTATCGTAAATTGATTTATTTTATTGATTATTTTTATGTTAGTATAATAATGAAAATATCAATCAATCAATTATTATGTAATTTTCAAACAAACAAATAAAATCTGTGGTAATTATTAATAAATTAATGTCTGATGTCATGTTTTATTTATAAAAATATATTTAATTTGTTCACTTGAATGGTAAGTTTGAGACAATTTCCTGATTTGCAAATAAAATGAAAATCTCGTTCTAGAATGGGTAACATTCTAGATTCTAGAAAGTAAAGGTATTTTGACACTCAAGTGCAAAAACTCATAGCCTATGAGTCATGGAGTCATAGGCGGCTACATTATAAGTAAAGTTAAGTTATATTCATTCAACTTCTAGTGACTTGGGTCTAGTCATTGGAAGACAGAAAAAGGTATTTAACTATCGATTAATGTCAACGAATCATATCTTCACTGCATTTAACTCACAATTGATTTCTTCTTCAATAAAACAATTTAATTTGAATTTCACTTTAAACACGAAAAGACGGAAAAGAACTTTAATTACAAATCAAATGCAATCAATTTCAATAGCTTTACTGTTTGAGAACTTCATTCCACGACTGCATCCAATTGTCGAAGCATTCAATATGTGTTCATTATTTTCATTGACGATATAAACGCTTAGATATTAATTGAATTCTTTAAAATGAGATTCTCGTAAATTATTAGTTCATTAAAAGATATTTATTAACAAATTTCTAAAATTATTAAAATTTTATTTTAAAATTGTCGATAAAAATACTAAAGAAAACATGTTTACTATACTTTTTAAATACTCGAACGGATTTGTATAACAATAGCTGTATATTAAAACTTGGGATTAAATTAAATAGAATTTTCGTCTAAATTAAAATCAAAATCGAAAAAATAAAATAACAAAAAAAAATTAGTGAAAAGATTTTAAAATGTGTATAAAATTAAAGCTAAAATATTAAATATTAAGTGTTGTGTTCAGACATCAGTCACTTTATCTATTCTGTTGCCATCGGATGGAGAACTTTGTGTTGAATTAGTGCTCGAAATAGAGTCCTGGCGTCGAACGGACCGAATGGTCGCCGGCGGAGACCCGACGCCGGAGTTGTCGACCACCGGACACACGTAGTCTTCGTAACAAACATCTGACTTACGTTTCTTTTTAAGAGTGAACTGTCCTTTTTTGTGGACCTGAAAGTGAGTGGAAAATCAATTTATATAAGTAATCATTGAATACACACAACGAGACCAACACAATCGGTACCTTCACTTTGGCCCCGGGAATCATTGGTATATAATTAGGCACACATTCAAAGTCCCGCTTCGCTCGACACAAATCGTTGCCAATTAATTGCTTGAATTTAATGGATATGTGTCGCCGTAATAGTGTTTTAATGGTCGGAATGGACAGCAGAGTGGAGAAGAGGTCGGCGTTAAACGCGGGTTCGTATACAATGACCGCCCCGTGAACTCCAGACCCGCGTAGGTTTGGCGCAAATTCAGACAAATCAATGCAACGCAACCATTCCATCACTCGGTGTGACGTCCATAACGCTATCTCTTCGGGGATCCATTCGGTGATGTTTGTCTCATCGGCGGCGGCCCTTCTCTTCAGACATTGACTGTTAAACTGATACCAAATCATTGATTACTAGTGAATATAATTCGACTTTAAATTCATAATCATTTACTTTGTGTTCTCTAAGCACTCGAATCCCACATTTGATACTCGAGTGATGCAATTGACTCGTGATCTTCAGAGAGAACAGGTCTTCGACAGTCAAATAGTGAAGAACTCGTCCGTCGATTCTGGCGTCTAAGAAGGCGTCTTTGTATTGCGGAAGACCGATGTCGTCGAGCCATCGCGCGACCCATAGGTAGTCCAATTGATCCGCAGCTTTGGTCAGTTCGTCGTCGGTTTCCTGATTCATGGCAGAGACGGCTAAACGGAGTTTCTTTCGATGCAATGCATTCCTAACGCCCAACTCTTTCTCCACCTCCTGATCGGTGGCCCGCATCAGGTGTTCGCCATTTTTGCACCAACGCTTACAGTCGGCCGAATACATGCCCAGACCTATGATCGCAAACCAATCAGCGACTAGATTTGTGTCCCATCGAGAAAACGGCAAATTTATACTGAAATTATCAATTAATTCATACATTAATTATTTGCAAATACAATACACGACTCATTACTTAATGGTTTTCTTAACACTTGGAGAATATCCAAGTCGTGGACCAGTTGTCGATCGATAGCCACCGCGAGTGAAAGCGTTGTCAGATAAGCCAGAAGACGACGACGGACTCCTCTTTGGTCTGTAAAACAAGTATTAATTGCGTGAATGAAACTCTCGAGAGGATAATCATCTCTTCACTACCGGCTAAATATTCTTCGAAGACCTTTGGGTTTGGATTCATTTTTAGACAATTGCATTCCCATTGGCAGTGATATAACAGAGTTCGGTATCTCAGAAGTGGATGAACGCGCAGATGATATGATTTGGTCCTCTTTCGCTGTTTTACAATATTTAAACATTTAATTAATTGATTGTACAGTAAATTGTATTTGAAAACAAACTAAACATAACATTTCAATACAAATACAAATTACATTCAAAACTAATTGTCATACCATTGAGTGCAATACGATAGCGAAGAGAAAGGTATAGTAAAGTCAGTGAAATCAGTGAAACTCTTAGGCAAAGCTTAAGACAATTCAATGTTGCGTTTCAGATGTTAGAGGAGTTAATCATTAGTGACATTAAGTAATTCTCTTTTGCTCGCTTTTTCTCTCCTAGGGAAGTGGATTGAGACCTCGTGAACTCCGGGAAAACACAGAAAATTCGGTTTTTTTCCAAAATGGTTTACTATGCTGTGGGCTTACAAATGATGATCTATCTGACGTGTCGTGTGTCCGCAGATTATCGTTGGACCGGTTCTGAAGGCTGGACATGGAGTTGGGTGTTGTGGGCGTTCGGCCGCTTTCGTACGAACTGCTCATCTCGTGTTGTTGTAGTTGTTGTTGGATTTGGTGAAGAACTTGCGCGCCGTGAAGGTGTGGTAGAGTCGAGTAGTTTGTGGCGAATGGCATCACTTGTGGCTTCACGTTCTCGGCGGACGACGACCGGGCCATCGATGACAGGGGTGTGGGAGAGGTGTTCCTGTGGGGCGGCGCCGGATTCACGCGATACACGGACGACATCGACGGTGTAACAGCAGGCGACTGACATGAGAGCGCTGCTCTCCACCCGAGGCTTACGCTCCCTAATGAGCTACTATTGTCGGCAACTGACTAGCCTTCGCCTCCAAACAGATAGTGAGCCCTGAGTGGGCTGCTCGGGATGCGCTGTTTAAAAAATAATGTCATTAATATAACAAATGTTTGTAAATACAATGCAAAAGTGATTTACATTTCGCGTGTATTCAGCGGCGAAAGACTTTCCCCGAAGAAGTGACAGCTCGTTGTCTGTAAGCAAATATCCCGTAGTTCTGGCCATTTTGGCTAATGTGAGTCGAAGGGCTGATATTTCGGTCTCTCTTTCCAATAAAGTGCTCGTTATAACAGACAATTCATTGTCCAGTTTTCGAGCCCTGTCTTCGGCGGTAATCCTCGAGTGTTGACAATCACTCAATTCGATCCGCAGTTTCGACACTTCCGACAGGAGGTCTAATTTGGCGCTTTCTAGTGAAGACTTGTTGAACAACGACTGCTGAAACATATCTTCGGTGGCCATCAGTTGAGACTTTGTATTGTCTAAGAGTTCCTCCATTTGTCCGATTTTGTCGGCTTGCGATTCAATTTGTTCGCTCATTATTCCCATCTAAACATTCATTTAAATATACAGTCAATTAATTTCATTAAATAATGTTTCGATCAGTGTTTGAAATTCAAACTTTGAATTATATTAATTTTATTTTCATAACACAAATGTTTATATTTTTGCAAAACTGAATCAAGTGTTTGAGTCGTCTATTTATTTATTACTGAATTAATCCGTAAACTAAACAGTAATTGCTTTTTATGTGTGTATGTCTTCGAAGAGGGTATTAAACTAATATGTCATGCGATATCAATAATCGCATCACTGATCGTATTATTATTCAATACATAAATTCAATATTAAATTTCGGACAAAAAACAAAACAAAAACTAATTGCCGTTTATCTCAATGATCTGAATTCAATACTATGTCATCAATTTTGTGCAATTGCAGTGTAATTAGAAATTCATAGTTTTTTACCATAATTATATTTAACTTCTACTTATAAATGATGATAAACTAGCGNGCCGGACCACCGACTCAGCCGTCGCCACAGACGTGCGGTCGGCGTGAGAGCGGTTCGGTCGGCGACCGTCTGTCGGCTTCTCATGTGTTTCAAATGAGTGAAACGACTAATTGCTACCCAATTATGTCTAAACACAAATACCGGTGCAATGAATGCGGCCTTACCTGCGCTCACATGTACATCGAGCCAATGGCCCCAACCTATTGGGATCATGTCGTTCCACATCATCACTCTTTGCATCACAATTTCTATTACAGAAAGGTTTCCCACTTTTATATACCTGTCCCACAAATTCTCGCTCCCAATCATCCCTCATATTTCTAGTTGAAAGCGTTGAACGCGTTTTGTTTTGAGATTTTCTAAACGCTTTGAGATTATAGTTAATTCATGTTTTAATACAATTTGTCACTCAATTGTTTGGACAGAATATTCACGAAACGGACAAAACACACGATAAGATCGATTACTTTGAAGCCGAAAAACAACATTTGGTTCTTCAGGTAATGCACTACTGTTTGTATACAACATATGTTTTCATTTATTTTTATTTAATTTGATTTTAAATTATGATTATTATTAATAATATTAATTTAAATTTGAAATATACAGCATGTACTGTAATTTAAAGAAAATTATTTTTAACAATATTTAAATGCTGACTTTGTTTCTGAAATATTATTAAATATCTTACCTATAATAATTTCATTAAATTTACTATATTTTTAGTTCAATTAATATTACGTTTTTTAAAAAAATATTATTGAATTAAAAAATGATAACTTGTTTAGAGATTTTCCGATTGATAGTGAATAACATAACTATATTTGTAAATCAAAAATGTGTTAATAATTGATTACAAGCCCTCCAGAAATGTCATCATTTCTACAAACCTGTGTTGAATGCCTGGAAAGCAAACCCATTATGCGAATGGCATTTCATCACAAATCTATAATTATTATAATTTTTATTTTACATCAAATCGATTAACATTCACATAACTTTTAAATATTATTTGTTTTGTTGTTATTTCATTTTTGGCTTTCATCTATCAATTGATTGTAACTATTTATGTGATAATGGGATACAAAATACTGGAGATAAATGATAATAACATAATTGCTTTATAATTGCAAATTAATGTTTCAATGTGTTAACTAAAATTAAACAATTTATTATACGTTTTATAAATAACTCAATTAAACACAACATATAATTTGAGAGACATTAAGCAAAGAAAACTTTTTGTTTAAGTTTACATGTATTCGCGGTTTAAATCACAAATTATATGTTTTGTTTGCTTAACATATTTTTTGTTATTCATTTAATTTATTATTTACTATAAATAGCTATAATAGGGTTTTGAATGTCTTTGTCTGACTAAATGATAAATTAGTTTTCATAATTCACATCACTTTTGAAGTCTTGATAATAAAAAATTGTTTCTATTTATATAGAAATCCGTAAGAATTGTCGCGGATTTCCGTCAGTATTAGGAATATTCAAACTATTCGTACAATTCTTTGCTTTAAAACAAATTATTTGCTATTTTAAGCGAAATTCTCTCGCTTTGTATTATTTTTCAAAATCTCATTTTGTTTTTCTTAGGCTTTGAAACAAATTATCGTGAAATCAAATTTTAAAACTTAATTTTGTATATTTTTGGCCATTAAACTACTTATTTGAAACTTGTTTTACTTTTATATCTATTGAAAATTATATATTCATTGCTTTTATTACAGTAATTATAATATTATTTTATATGAAAATTAATTAGTCTATGAGAGGTGTCTCAAAGAAGTGAATATCAATAATTAAATTTCATTAATTCATGGCTTTAATGATAATTTGAATAAAAACAAATAATTTTAGCGCCAGTTTATCATCATTTATAATTAGAAGTTTAATATAATTATGGTAAAAAACTATGAATTTCTAATTACACTGCAATTGCATTAAATTGATGACATAGTATTGAATTCAGATCATTGAGATAAAC